AACTTTTTTATTGCCTCTGATAGCTTCAATTGTTGTTGTCTGATAGATCAATGTTGCTCTGTCTGTTTTCTGCCACTGATTGAATGACACCTCCTCGTCATTGTCATTGTCAATTAGTTGTGCATTCAGAAACTTCTTTAAAGAAACTATACCTGGACAGTTCAGACATCGGTGAACCATGCACTCGTTACTTGTCACATCACAAATCACTTTTGTCATCATATCTTTGTAAATACATTTCATTTGTATAGCATTGGTCAAGAGTATTGCATTTTGATGGAGGGTACATACACAAACAGAATGAGTGCCTGATGCTCCAACAGTTATACACCATTTTGGTCTTAAACTGCAAAACTTACAAAATCCAATAACTTCTTAAGGATATTTTTTAAAAGAAACATAAAGTTCTTTAAGATTACATATAATAAGGCGCTTTTGCATGTGTTGTTTTCTACCAATGCTTATGTAATCTTTTTTACCAGGCATTTGTCTAGTAAATTCTTCATCACGGTATATATTGTTGACTCTATTTAATGTTATTTCTGAAAATGTTTTTCCTTTCTTAGTGCCTGGAACTGTAAAAATCCCACTTATTTTCTTTAGTTTGCGCGCTTCTTTAATTTGGTATATAGTGACGTTCAAATATCTTCCAGCAAAATTTCTTGACCAAGGCTCGGATGTAAATGTTAACAACTGAATTTTAGTTTTTTGGTCAAAAACAATTAACTTTTCTTTTATTTCTGCTGTTAGTTTGTTTAAATCATCACATTTACTTTTGTCAATAATTTTCGTATGAGGAATTTTTATGTTTTATACTTATATACTTTTATGTTTTATACATTATATACTTTTGAAATATGCTCTTCATACTTTGATATTATTTTTATAACTTTACTTTTAGCAACAGATAGCCGTTGATGCTTTGGAATGCCATGAAGTTTTATGGGGGATACACCTATTGTTTCCAAATTAACATTTAATGCCTCTCGTGACTTTTCAGAAGTAGCACATGAAATAGATTCCTCAAATTCACAATTATCTTGTTCATGAAATTTACTGATTATAGCATCAAAGCAGCTCTGACAAAGTTGATATCCAGGCACAACATTTGGAAAATTAATTCTCAATTGTTTTGCCATATCTAATGTTATTATATGACTCCCTGAAAAGAAAAGAACAATTTGATTTTAGTAATTACCTATGAATATGAAAATTATTTGTACTTATTTCAATATATATTGCATAACCAGATCAGCTTTTTTTCAAACTTTTATAAACTTGTAGATTTTAATTTTATTATTTAAAAAAGATTTTACAATAGTTTTTTATCAACAATATTTACCTTTGATTGCTTTTTTTTGATTTATGCTTGTCCAATAAATTGCAACATTCTGTGTGCTTCTTTTCAAAGTGTGTAGCAAAAATCTTTTCATGATGAAGGCAGATTGTTAAAATTTTATCATCTGTTATTCCAGATCTCCAAATAAATTCTTCTCTGGCATCTTCTCTATAGCAATCAAATTTCTTTAAATCAATCTTTCTACAATAACTTAGTTTATGACAAGTATCATTTAATTTTTTTCCAAAATCACATGAATCCATTCTTACTGTAACACTAAAAACATTTTGAGATTAATTTAAAAATGAGAAACCAATAGTAATTAATTAAATGAAAGCAACTTAAGCAATCGCCATGGTAATACAAAACTAAACAGTGATTGATTTCTTTTATCTTACTTTGACAAAAAGAAAGTTTCCATTTCACAAAGTTTAATTATAATCAATTTGTTAATGTTAAAAATGTTAATGATGACTTTAATAGGTAACAAATTTCTTCTATACTAGTGTAATGACAGGATGTTTTTTGTTACTGTGAATAGTTCTTATTTAATAAAATAACTTGCTGTTAACATTTTAGAATTAGCAAATATCAAATAAAAAAATGATTTTGAAAAATTGATAAATTTCTTTTTTATCGATGTAATGTTATGACAGGATGTTTTTTTCTGTTGGAAGTTAATTAAACAACTTGCTGTTACCATTTTAGCATTAAAATATATTAATCTTTTTTAATTAAAATTTTAAATTATACAAAATAAAATTCTGTTAAAACTATTATTTTAGACTGTTTTTAATCTTATACATGCAAATCAAAATTCTTATAAACATTAACTTTCTTAAAACATTTTAAGAAAGATCATTGAACATAGAATGATCAAAAACCAAATTGAACAAATATAGATCACAAAAATTTGTGAAGCAATGTTATCAAAGATATGTTTAACGTTGTAAAATATAAAAATCTAAAAAAAAGTTTTGAAGGCAATAGTTTTCAAAGTTATTTTAAATGTGTTAAAGAAAAAAAAAAATTTTTCTTTTTGAGAAAATAAGTGGGGCATGGTCCCCGGTGCCCCAGCCCCATGGACCTTCTGGTCGTCTGACCTGCAACAATTTTAACGCATCTTCATCAGGACTAAACAAAGGCTGAAAGTTTCAAAGCTCCTGCTTGTCTGCAAGATACTGAAAAATCTCAAACTTTCGGTCAAAAAAGTGGGGCACATCTCTCCAGCCCCCTCCCCTAGTGTCTTGAGCCCTTTTTTAATTTTAAAATGCACATTTATTGACACTACATAAATACCAAAATTTTAATCGTTCCAGCTAGTCTGAAAGGTAGTGAAAAATGTATGGCAAGATTCCGCTACAAAATAGTGGGGCCTGTGCCCCGTTAACCATATATGGAAATCAATATACTTGCAGATCAAAATTTTTATGTTTTCTGAAAGATCATTAAACATAGAATAATGTGCACAATTTTTTTTTAATATCATCAAGGCCACATGGCTTTTTTGAGCATCAAAATCAGGTATATAGAAAATTGCCTAAATTTATTTAAATTGATAATTACAGGTACTTAAAAATATTTTTTTACATTTTTGATTATTTCATTGGATTCTTCAATCCTGAAAATAACTAGGTACAAATTTTAAAGTCGAAAGATTAAATATTTTTAAAGCTATATGACTTGGAACCTTTAAACAAAGGTCAAATTTCTGAGGGGACAAGAGGGGCCTGGCCAAGATCAGTTAAAAGTAAAATGAAATATTTCATGTAAAAAGTAATATTTCATGATCCTCTTGGAGCTAGAAGCTAAAATTTTCAAGGATTTTTGGTTTTACTAAGTACTCTCAACTGTATAAAAATCAGCAAAATCTGAGATGTATGGTGACATTTTTGAAATTTTCTGGGTCAATTGAATTACCCTGCTTGCAATTTTGTTGGAAGTAAATTAGATTTTAAAAATATATAAACGTATTTAATAAATAATAAATGTAACCATAAATTTATAATTTATTAAGTATTATAAATTTTTTTCTAGCCCTGGCTAACAACACCTGTATTGTATTGTATTTGCATTTATTAGAACAGATAATATACATGTTCTAAAGGACACGCAGGTCCAATATTGATGGACACTAACAGCGTGCCCACCCAAAAAAAAAAAAAAAAAAAAAAATTATGTAACAGCGTACAACATTGAATAAATAATTTATCAACGCTGACAAAACTTATCAAAATTGATTGAGTTAATTTTCCTCTTATGAATGTTGATATTATCGGCATTAACAACATCGAAGGGCAACTGATTCTAAATGTTGACAACTCGGTAAGAGAAACTAAATTTGCAAATATCTAGTCGACAATGTTGTTTGTGCAATTTATACTTATGTCCCCGAATTTTGTTTTTGTTGTCAAAAAGAAAGAACATAGATTTATCAATTAAGACCAAGTTATGCAGAATTTTGTAGCAAATCGATAAGTCATGCTTTACTCGCTAACTCAAGCGACTCCAAATCAAGCAACTGAAGTTGGTTATCGTAGGTTAAATTGCCTAAGTGCAGGATTTTTTTTGTGAAACGTTTTTGCACGTTCTCAACAACCTTTATTAGTTCAACATGATATGGTGACCAAACTGGGGAGCAATATTCTAATATAGGCCTAATATATGTATTCTAGAATCGCGAGACTTGAAACATTTTAAAATAAGATATGCTCTAGTATTAGCTGCATGTACAATGTTTGAGATTTGCTTTTTATAGTTTAGTTGAGAGTCCAGAGTTACACCGAGATCTTTTGGAATAGAAGACCAAGCTAAAATATGATCTCCTAACTTATAGTTAAAGTTAACAAATTTTCTCAATGAAGCAAATGCAATCCTATGAACAAAACACTTACTGGTAGAAATAGGTAGTTGGCATGTTTCTGACTATATTATTAAGTACTATATTATTAAGAGCAATAGCGAAATAATGGCTATGGTCCGTATTGCAAAATGAACTGTATAACTTGATGTCATCGGCATAAAGTTTTAAAGAGCAATCAAGATAGTTGACTATAACAGTTATATCATTGATATATAGTAAAAATAATGTTGGGCCTAACACGCTACCCTGAGGAACTCCACTAACGATGCAAGTTGGGTTTGATAATGAAGTTCCAACCTTAACTTGTTGACTCCTATTGTTAAGAAATGCAGCAATCCAATTTTTTAAATTACCTCTTATGTTAAATAAAGCTAGTTTGGCTAACAATTTAGGGTGTGATACAGAATCGAATGCCTTTTGAAAGTTGATATATACAACATCTGTTGTTAGATTATTGTCTAGTGCAGTACTCCAATCATTAACATATTCTAAAAGATTAGTGCATGTAGAGCGTTTCTTGAGGAAACCATGTTGATTATTGGCTATTAAGTTATGGAGAGTAAAATATTTAATAATATCCAAGTTAATAATTCTCCTAAATCTTATAATTTTGCCTGGGCCGGGTTTGCAAAAAGTTTAATTTTTAGCACTTACACTCACTTACTATTTCTCTGACTCTCTTACTTCAAATCTCTTACTCAGACTCTCTCTCTTAATGATTTAAAGTTTTCTATTTTTAAAACACCAAAGGTCTTTTTATTGTTTTTATTAATTTTTTTTTTTTTAATTTTTTTTTAGTTGATGTTTCTTGCACTGAACTTTCAATTAGAGTTTTTAGAACTTCGCAAAACTTATCAATTTGTTCTCAAAAATGTGGAGAATGTTGGAAGTAATCTTGAAATTAATTTTTATTAATATAAATAATTTTAATATTGATTAGTTTATTTTTAATTTACTTTTGGTTTTATTTATTTAAATAAGAAACAGTATTCATGACAGTAAACATGACAAGGAAACATTTTCTAATAATTCTTCTTCTGTGCAAAACCTAACAACAATGATTTTTTATGGTTTATCTTTACTAAATTTTAATATTAATTTCATTGTTTATTAAATTTTAATATTAAATTCATTGTTTACTAAATTTTAATACTAATCTCATTGTTTATAATTTCCTAAAGTAACTATTTTAAAATTACAACAACAAAAAATATTATAAAATTCAAGAAAACATATTAAATAAGAAATTGTGAAAGTAATTTTTTGTCTTTTCAATATAAATTGAAAAAAAAGTATGTACATATATTTTATTTTCTCTCGTAATTTAGAAAAATATCAATCGGAACTTGGAAATTGCAACAAAGAAAAAGAAGAGCTGAAAAAAAATGTTGATAAAATAACAGCAGATTTTAAAGCTTCTGAAGAGAAAAAGTAATATTATTAGAATTATAGCCATTGCTAATTCTCATGTGACATTTAAATTAGTTTAATTAGGTATGACTGTCTACTGATAATAAAAGGGATCTTTTTTGAGGGGGTTAACCCCTCATGTTCTAATAATCCCTCTCCCCAGATAAAAATGGATGCTGTGATACCTGATAATATGAGAGAAAATTGTTAATGTGGTGTGAACAGTAAAAGTTTATAAACATCTTATATAAATTTTGGAAAATAAATATTTAAATAATTTTCAAGCAGATTTAAATTTCATAGATTTATATTTCATAGATAAATTAGACATAGATTATAATTCAGATCATAGATTTCAAGCAAAACTAAAAATGAATTTTATTTATATTTCATCTTCATTTCAATCTTCTTAAGTTGGTAATAAAGATTCTTGTAATTTAGATTTTAAGCAAAACTAGTATTTAGTTTTATCTGTTATGGTCTAAGAACTTGGATATCTTTCTATAAATTTTTCAAATTTGAAAATTGTTTCTTATGGACCTCCTTATCAACATAATCCCACAATTTTTTTATGGGATTTAGGTCAGGACTTTGTGCAGGCCAATTTTCAAAAAAAGGAAATATTTTTGAAAATTGACTTGCATTTTAAATTAGCTTTAAGATAATATTCTTTAAGTCAATTTAAAATTTGAAAGGATTTATGGCATTGGATATTATTTTGTTGAAATACTATTTCATCTTCATTTCAATCTTCTCAAGTTGGTAATAAAGATTCTTATAATATTTTGATATATTTTTCAGAAATAATTTTCATTTCAATCCTGACCCTAAGCAATCTTCCCACACCTTTAGCTGATAAACAGCCGTATGCCATTGTTCCTAGATTTTCTTTAACTGTTTTCTGTAGACACATTTTTGGGCGATCCGAGTGCAGGCTTTTTTTAAAAAAAAATTTACTTTTTTTAAAAAAAAATTTGGTAATTTTTTTTGTTAATGTTTGTTATGAGAAATTGTCTAAATAAATATTCTTGCGCTTGTAAGATGATAAAGAAAAATTTTTTTTGGTTAAATTTCTTTTATGATTTCTTTTTTTGCAAATCATATATTTTTTTTCTTTTGCCAACATGGAAAAATTTTTAGATGGAAAAGTTACTCCTGTTTTGACAAAAAGGTGTCTCTTTTTGATTGCTTAGAACAGGCAGCCAATTTTAAATCTGATCTCACTTCTGTAACAGGTTGGGGCTGAGTGTCTTGTAAATTTTAACTTCAATAAAACTCAGTTATTTACTGCAAACAATTATTGCAATAGTGTCAACATTTCTATATTAATGAGTGGCAACCCTCTCACTGAGTTCTCTTCTTTACGTCTTCGTGGATTATTGTTTACTATTAACCTTTCATGTAAACCATATATACAATCGATTGCTGAATTAGTATCCACTAAGGTTGCTTCTTTTTATCTTGCTCGCCTTTATTTTTACTGCTGATTGTCCATGTATGAAATTTCATATTTGGGCTGAGGCTTCTGTCAACTATCTGTTCTCTTTCCTTGCTTTATAACACTATTCTTTTTTTTCCTTGTAACTCCAAACTTAATATTGGTTATATATAACTCTGCCAACAAGGCTAATAGCCTTGTTGGCAATGAATCAGAGTTATATATATATATATATATATATATATATATATATATATATATATATATATATATATATATATATATATATATATATATATATATATATATATATATAATTTGATTAGAAGATTTGTATTAAACCTAAATTTTGAGCTTCTTCTTTTGAACCTTTCGAATTCAATGACCTTAATATTATTATTAGGTCATTGAATTCGAATAGTTCTACTTTCGAATTCAATGACCTAATAATAATATTAAGGTCATTGAATTCTTAACTATTACTAATAATCACTAATCCAATTCCAGTTTATTTCGTATTTAGTTTTTGTTACATTTTTTAGATTTCATTCATTAACAAACCCACTTGGAATGTTTGTATAAGTTTCCGTTTGTGAGTTATTTTAATAACATTTTTTTCAATTTTCTTTATTTGCTTTTCTTCCTTTTTTGTAATCACTACCTAAACATGACATACCACCTAAACATGAAATTTTAAATATACTTTAAGTGGTATATTTTTATATCCTTATCTTTTATTGCCTACAATTTACTGCTTGAAGCATACTGAATTCTATAATGTTTTACATTCCAAAATCATATCAAACACCTTTATATATATTCCCATTTTAAATGCTAAAATTAATATTTTATAAGCTTAAAAACAATATATTTTAAAATAAAATGCATTATAATAATATGATAAAAAAACTCAGTTTTTTATGTTATTGAAATATATAAAATCGGTAATGTAATAATTTATTTATAAAATAATTCAAAGTAATAATAAGTACTAGCTAGAGTCTTGTCTAAGTCTTTAAAATATAGAGTCTAGTCTAGAGTCTTGTCTAAGTCTTTAAAATATAGAGTCTAGTCTAGAGTCTTGTCTAAGTCTTTAAAATATAGTCTAGTCTAGAGTCTTGTCTAAGTCTTTAAAATATAGAGTCTAGACTAGAGTCTTGTCTAAGTCTTTAAAATATAGAGTCTAATCTAGAGTCTTGTCTTAGTCTTTAAAATATAGAGTCTAGTCTAGAGTCTTGTCTAAGTCTTTAAAATATAGAGTCTAGTCTAGAGTCTTGTCTAAGTCTTTAAAATATAGAGTCTAGTCTAGAGTCTTGTCTAAGTCTTCCCACATTGACTTTTTCTATACTTTTTCCTTATATATATATATCCTAGTTTTGAGGGCCTATAAAATATGGGTGTTTACCAAACCTACCATTTCTATACTGATCTATTCCACACCCATCATTTCTATAACTATTTTTTGTTTACTTCAATATTTTTACGTAAAATACTTCATTTTAAAAAATTGCTTTAAGAGCAAAAAAATTAACATGTGCACCTTTTCGGCATACCTAGAACTTTTAAGAGATTTATAACAAGGTTTTTTTTTTTCCTAAACACATATCATTGATAGCTCAGTGGTTTAGTGCAAAATTTTTATTATAGTATATATCTATAATGATTATAGCAATATTTACAGCAAAAAAATAATATAGCAAAAAAGTTTTCTAATTGTTAAAATAAAATTCAAAAGTTTTCTCATTTTTATAGATTTAGTATACATGATTGTTCTGTATGCAAACTCAACATGTGCTCAAGAAGTTTACACTTACAGACTTTTGTACAATGCTATACAAATGGCAAAACTAAGAAGATCTTAGACCATTAAAAACTATAGACTATAAAACGCTACAGGATCATCTAATAATTAAGCAACGCTAAATTTATTTTTAAAAAAGGAGGTTTTAAGTTCTTCTAGGTGGTGATTTTCATTAAACTTAATGAGTTGTTTTGATTTTTTATTTAACTTATGACTCTGCGAGAGAAAACTTTTGATTTGTTATTTTTATTTTGTTCATTAGGGAAATTTAGCAATGCATTATTTATAGGCGATTCCTAACCTAAAAGTTAAGTCAAAAAATAATGGAGTATAGTAGTATACTCCATTATTTTTTAATTTTGAATGATATTCTGTTGTTGCTATGCACTCGGTTTAAAATATTTAATGTCATGGTAATATATCTGTAAAACATTAAATTTCCTTATTAGATCAATTTTAAATAATTTAAACTTTCAATTATTTTAAAAAAATAATAGATTAATAAAATGATTTAATTTGAATAAAAAATTTTCAATTATGTTCTTATTAAAAACATACTTTTTAAACCCTCTTACTGTTTTAGAAAAAGTTAAAGTCGTTGTGTGGCAAGTTCAAATCATTAGCTTTCTTTTTTAATTTCTGTTATTTAAAATGCAAAACAACATTATAGTTCCATAGATTTTATATTCTATATATAAACATTTTGTATATTAATTTTCCTGTCCTGAACTTAACTTAGTTGTAAAGAAACCTGAAATGTAAAACTAAAATAACATCTTGATAAAATAATATCTCAATCATGACACATACGCAACAAATTTCTCCCATTTTTTGATGTTTTTTAGATTTTTTTAGTTTTTAAAAAAAAAATGTTTGTTTGTTAAAGTGTATAATATTGTTATATACGCTTGTATGTAATCTCTACAAAACTTCAAAAGTATATTGTGTTTTGAAAAATCTAAAAAAAATTAAAATAAAGAGTTGCCAGTGTAGGATTCGAACAATGGCTTTATTGTTTAGAAACTCTAACCACTTGGCCATGCGTTGGCACGATGGTATAGATCAAAATTAAGGAGAGGTTGATGCAATGCATTTTTTAAGTGAAAGTAAAACTGTAAAACTTGATATATATTTAAGTGTTTTAACATTACATAGTTTGAAGTTTACGTACGTTAGATATTTAGATATTTACATACACTTTCATTCACATTTTCTTATAAAACAAAGTGCTGCGATTATTTCTCTCTATTACTCTATATATGTATATATATATATATATGAAGAGTTTATTTTCAAAACGCGGTAAACGCCATTTTAAAAATTTTTGAGAAATTGTATGGTTTATTTTTAGTTTATAAGGACCTAGCAGACATTGTGTCCGAATATATGCTAAACGAAGTATAACCCAATATTTTTTTACTTCTAAAAAACATTTATTTTCAAAATATAAAATTAAATATTAAATTATAAATAAAATTTCAAAGTATAAAATTTTATATTTGTTTTCAAAATGCGGTATTTAATTTTGACCAATCCGTGGCAAATGTATATTACTTCTGCGCAAGCGCAAATATTTTAAAGTTGCGTTAAAGAAATGGCGGATTGCAATGGACAAGATTAATGCGTTACCTAATATCCTATTTCACATAGAAAAAAAGATATGATGTATGAAACAAAAGAAAAGAAAAGCATTTCTTAATTCTAGTGTTCGTTTAAACTACCATGCTTTGTTTGTTTAACTGAATGAATTATGGAATAATGATAGAAAATATATTAAAAAGG